GGTGTGTGTGGGACAGGAATCGCGAGCGTAACAACCGTGTCTGTATGAACCCCCCACCACCACGCAACCCTTGTTAGCGCGAATCGCCGTGTCGCTGTGATTCAGTCGCCGGCATTAATATTTCGAGGCGTTTCTTCTCGCGCCGATCGGTCGGCTCGGTTCAACTCCCCGCGGGAGATGCTCTGCCTCCCCCCCTTTCCCCCTCGCCCCGCTCACTGTTTACCATGTGCTCGCGGTGAGTCAGCCCCCCTCCCTGGCACGCGCCCCGCGCCGCTCGCCCACACCTTTATGTTTGCTCGCGTGACGCCCCGCCATACTTTTGTCGCGGGCCTCAGTCCGACCCGGCCCTCCGGATGTCGAGGGCGGGGCAGGGCGGGGCGGGGCGGCCAACAACGGTCGATGTAGGGTTTAGCGAAAATAAAGTGAAATGCATGGAGGGGACGCGGTTTAGGCCTTGCATTGACCTTGTTGTTTTGTGCATGTTGCAGGCGGGGTTCCCCTTCGACGATGACGGGCTGAGGGCGCGCGGCCGGCCCGACTTCCGACACCGACTAGAGGAGCTGGCCCAGCAGCACCCGGAGTTCGCCGACAGCCTGCGCCCCTGGTACGACCAGGAGCAACAGCCTCAGCAGTCGCAGTCAGCGCAGCAGCAGCCGCCACAGACGCCGCCGCAGCCGCAGCAGCAGCAGCAGCAACCCCAGCAGGATATGGGTTGGGGCTTCCGACAGAGGACTGGCTCCAACTCTTCACAAGCCCAGCCGGAGGCCCCGCAGCAACACGAGCAGCAGCAGCAGCAGCAGCCAGAGCCGCAGCAGCAGCCTGGTCTAGCTCACCACGGCCTGAGGAACACTGTGGACCTCGGCGAGGCCCAGGCACAGATGGACGGCCAGGCTCAGGACGACCGCGTGAAGCGCGCGCAGAGCGCTCCGCCCGCCCCGGACCAGGCTGGTCCCCACGGGGCGCCCCAGGGACAGCGCTTCGTGTCCCGGCTGGACATCAACCCACAGCCATCCAGTCAGGACCCTGCGGCCGCCAAGCCCCCCTCGGGCTCCAAGCAGCAGCAGCAGCAGCAGCCACCGCCCGCCAAGACGGCCAGTGGCAACGTACGGCAGATCCCCATCTTCGTGGAGGGCCGCGACGAGCCCGTGCTGGCCAAGGACGACGTGGACTCGGCGACCAACTTTGGACAGGGCTACCCCCATCACAGCAGCACCGGCACGCGGCCCAACTTCGGCCAGGGCTTCTCGCGGTCCAACATGGGCTTCCCGTCGTTCCACTCCAGGGAGCCGTGTGAACAGGAGGCTCCCGCGCACAAGCGGCCCTTCCCACAACAGCACCATCAACCGCCCCCGCAGCGTCAGCCACAGCAGCAACACCAGCCCCACCACCAGCAACCGCCCCACCACCAGCAACAGCCCCATCACCAGCAACAGCCGCACCCACAGCAGCCTCCGAGGCAGCAAACGCCTCCCCAGGCCCAGCAGGCCCAGCCTCAGGCTCAACCTAGCCCTCCACCGCAGCAGCAGAAGCCCAAAGACGCGCTCGAGAAGGTGAAGGAAGTGCAGTTGGAGGTGGAGTCGTTGTCAAAGGAAGTGGACATGTTCAAGGGCACGCGGAAGGACAAGCGCTACCTGTTCTTGGACGAGATGCTGACCCGGGAGCTCATCAAGCTCGACGTGATCGAGACGGAGGGGCGCGACGACGTGAGGGCGGCGCGCAAGGAGACCATTCGCTCCATCCAGCAGTGCATCTCGAGACTCGAGGCCAGGGCGGACAGCGACCAGGCGAGCACCCCGGCGAGCACAGAGTCAATGGAGGTTGACCCGCCCGCCGCCGCTGCACCCGAGTCCATGGAGGTGGACCCATCTAGTCAGACCAGTGGAGACTGCAAGACTGAAGGGAAGGAGGCGGCTGCCCCCGCGGCGCCCGCCGAACCTGCCCAGGCCGCGGACGCTGCTTCCGTCCCGCCCATGGATACCACCCCCGCGGCTGCAGCGCCCGCCGCACCTGCACCGGCACCAGAGTCCGTCCAGACACCTGCCCCCGCCGCCCCCAGCCCTGCCCAGGAGAGTGCCGCTGCCGCAGCGTCATCGTAGTGCTAGAAGTGCAGTATTCTTTTAAATCTTAAAAAAAAAATTGTTTGAATTTTGTGTCCGATGGAACTAGTACCTGAATGAAGAAGTGGCGCGCGTATGGAGTGACTGTTGTGCTGATAGTGAACGCCAGTTAGGGTGTGAGTGATGACTGATGTGGCCTGGTAGTTTACTTTTCTCTTTCTCTAGTGGATTTTTATATTGTTTCAAGTGCTGTTAATTTCCACTGATTTGTTTTGTAATGTTTCATGACCTATTTATTTGTTATGCTAGCCAAAGAGATTTTAATTTCTTTTACACACCTGCGCATTGCAACAATTTGATCCCCCTCCTCATTCTGTCTTTTATTTAAATTGTAACTGTGATATTTGTGCCCGTGTATTAGTGGTGTTAGTGATATCCTCAGCCAACAAGCCTCTCAAACGAATTGTTGCTTTCCATAGTAAAAGTTTTGATAAAACACACGCCATAGTTTTCTCGGTAACTCTGATACGATTTTTGTATGTCACTTGTTTTCCTCTCAAACTTTGTTTAAACTGTAAATAACATTAGAATAATTAAATAATTCCATCATTCAAAAGCACTCTTGTCTTAATGGAACACTCCCCCTCAATCTCCTCGTCTCGCCCCACGCCAACGAGCAACGAATTTTGAAGAAAAACTTCTCGGAATCTGTCGAGCGCGCGCGCCTAGATGGACCAGATACACGATCGCCTGCTGTTCCACATTCCGACACTCCTGACCGCACAAGTGCGCTCGGCGCGCCGAGGATCTTCTCCCCGTCGCCCGACATTTGCCATAAGGGCGCCGCTTGGTGTGAGCGCCCATACCGGCCAGCAGTCCGAGGCTGCCCATGGCGTAGCGGTCTATGCATGGACCTGCCTGCCCGGCCGTGCTGCGCCGCGGACCCCTTTGCTACCAGCTATGGGCGTGCACCAGACAGACTCGCCCCCCCCCCCCTCTCTCCCTCTCTCTCGCACACCGCGTGGGCTCGGCTCAGCAGCCGGCGGGGGCCGCGGGGGCCCCGCGAGCCGTCTACGCGTGGGCGCCACGTGGTGAGTGAGGCGCCGTGCCGCGGCCTAGTAGTCGCAGTCGCGGGCAGGGGAAAGGGGCCCGCCGGGGAATAAAATTGCATCGGTTGCGCAAAAAAATAAAAATGAATACATCGGCGCGGTAAAATACAAAAGAAAACGTTTACTTCATTCAGGTGCGACTCTTAGAGAAAGACTCAGTAAAGAACGGGCAGCTCTGAGAAAGCTGTTTACATTCAAATTGGATGTGCGCAATAATTAACTTTTGTTTACCCTTGGATCCACCTCCGCTCTGCTCTGCTCCGCCTCTCTCGACTCAGATCTCTTTCCCAACGGCGGCCGGTCGTGTCGTATTGCGTGTCGCCCAACAACCTGCCGAGTCGCACACCCCGTCTTACTCGAAACGGCGAGGGGCAACAGGAGCAGCAGGATGATGGGCGGGACAAGCGACGGGGTGCCCCCAATAGCCAAGAGAGCAAGGTGCTGCGTGACCAGTGCGTGGTCACGCTGACACTTTAGATCCATGGCATTCGATTACACTTTTATCCTTTTATCAGACTCTCCAGCCTCCCACTCTGCAGCAGGACTGGGCCATGTTACATTGAACTCTTTCGAACGCATATGGCGAAATACGTAGTTTTACCACTAAAGAGGAAACTAAAATAAGTCCAGTGTTCGTGCGCGCTGCGGGCATAGCGCCTTAATGACATGGGTAGGCAGACCCGCCAGCCTTCTGTGTCGAGCGGGTCGGCCTACTCCGGCCTCGACAGGCGTCGGCCGTTAGTGACAAGCCTCAGTAAGGGCTGCACGCCTAACGCCTTGATCACTCTGGGTAGGCAGACCCGCCAGCCTTCTGTGTCGAGCGGGTCGGCCCACCCTGGCCTCGACAGGCGGCGGCCGTTAGTGACAAGCCTCAGTAAGGGCTGCACGCCTAACGCCTTGATCACTCTGGGTAGGCAGACCCGCCGGCCTTCTGTGTCGAGCGGGTCGGCCCACCCCGGCCTCGACAGGCGGTCGGTGGTGACAAGCCACTGACGCGTCGCTCCGTTCGTCCTGGAACCGACGCGTCATACAGCCCCATTTCGGTGTTACCTCATTTCGAGAGGAAGAGCAGGAAGAGATAGCCGGCTTGTTATTGTATCGCCTCTCCTGGAAGCCATCGTCTATACCGTCCTACGCCCACGCGACGCAGCTGTGGTTCGGCCGCTCCGCCGTGTTTCTCTACGTTTGTTTGGTGGGGGCAAGAGGATTAGGAAAAGAAGGGGGGATTTTATCATGGAGAGGGAAGGCCCACACTCTCCCCTTCTTTCCCTAGACGATGCGATCGAGCCGCCTTCGTGTCGCCGCCCTTCTCCAGCTCGTCAGCCTCCCCCTCCCCACCCACTCCTGCTCCGCGGTCCGGGTTGTCTCCCTGCTAGGACGGGCGGACGGCACGGCACAGCAAGCGCAGCTCGTGCGGGCCACTTGGTGGCCACCATGTTGGGCACCCTCGCCTCTCGTCTCGCTCAGCTGAGGCGATGACGTCACGCCGTTCGACGGTGGGTCAACACGGTGTACTACGCACGTAGACGCTCCGCAGCCTCACCTGCAGGTGCGGGCGGCCGGGCCGAGAGCCGGGCCAGAGGCTCTCTCCCGCCTCGCCTCCCGCGGCCTGGCGCGGTGGCCGCCCTTCCCGTCCCTGCCACGGCGCGCCAGGCGCGCCGCGCCCGCGCCGGGTGTCCTTATAAGGCACAGCCCGACACGTCACGGACCGCGGCGGGCGGCCGTCTCGTCTCGTCACGAGTTTGGAAATGTATAGTGAGGCGATCCGAGGTGAGGCACCGCATCGCAAGTGGAGGCGGTGCGATGCGGGCGAAGGGAAAGAAAAGGAGACGGGCTGATTCGATTTTCAGACATACTTTTATAGGGTACATGTACAGTCACATGACAGTTCATTTTAAAATGGAACCCATCCGATATCGGTATTAATCTACAATCACATTGAAGGTAAAAAAAAAAATGAATTTGAAATAAAATGAGTGTTTTATAGAGCAGTTACGATACATTCACCATCCTTGAGTTTGTGTTGGGTATGTCGCTGCCCTCAATAATGATTGCCCTGGACAGGTTGCGAGCCAGAGAAAAGCGTATGAGTTGAATCTTCTCTTTTGTGGCAGCATCAAGAGATTTTGAAACACTGCAGGAATCAACCTGTAAAATAGATTGTTATCACATTTAAATGTTTTAAACATTCATGTAGATAAGAGGTGTACTTTATTATAGACAATAGTAGTACAAACCTGAGTTAGAAGTTCTGTTTCTAATGTCTCTAAACATGAGAGAAGAATATCAGTGTCATTTGCTGAAAATATTAGTTCTCTGCATTCCAACAAAGGTATGCATTGTGTGAGCAAAATGAGCTGGAAACTGTAAAGAAACAACAGTTAATTGCAATTCTCACCAATTTTAACTCACTGACAATTGTTAAAAAAAAAATATGTAGGGGAGAGGTGTGTGGGTTTCTATGGTATTTACTTTTTGGGAGGTAGATGAGAACTCAAAAGTGAGACAATAAGTGATGCAGCAGCTTTTAGATTGTTTGATTTATAGAGCTGATGAAACTCACAATATTTTCCTGGGGAAAAGAAGACATTTCAGATGAGTTAAAAATAAAGATTGGGGAAAAACATTTTTTGGACTAAGAAAAAATACAGCCATTAAAACTCACCTAGGAAAGTTAAACGATCACTAACAAGCATGCAAGAACCAAGGTTATCAAGGAGATCAGTAGCTTCAAATTCACCCTTGTCAGCAAAACCCTCAAGGAATCTATCAGCTAAATGATTTGTCAAGTTGGCATCTGTAGATCTCAAAGCCCAGGCAAGAGCATTGCCAAGCCTGTCTTGGCGAAGAGATTTGGAAGCCATAACTTTACATATAGTTGTTACTAGAAAAAGCAAAAAATAAAAATGAGCAAAAATTTGTATTGAGTACTGTGTAGAAATACAATATGTAATAAAATGAAGTTCCTACCAACAGAATCCAATCGTCTCTCATGTGCCATCTGCATTATTTTAAAAGCCCGAGCCTCTGATGTTAAAGGTATGGCAGGAAGAAGAATTTCTAGGCGTTCTAAGCCATGAGGTGGGCAATGATCTAGATAGCTTACACCAACTTGCCAAAGTGAATGGTGAGACATGAGCATAGTTCCATAGTCTAACAAAACATGCTCATGAAGTTGATGAGCAACACTAAAATTTCAGAGAGGAAAAATAAATATTAAATATAATACCTGCACAAAGTCTGATAATAAAATGCTTGTAACAAAATAAAACAATTAGATATCACAAATAGACCAACATACTTCACTTTGTTGCTATCAAAAATATTCAGGCGGCCACATAAGTATAGAAGATTAGTCAAATGGACGGCAAACCACCCATTATCTGCTGTTTTCTGTAGTTCTTGGATTACTTCTAGTAGATTTGATTCAAGAAGCAGCAATATTAATTTGTCTAGATCCTGAATATCATTGTTGCTTCCAAATGCTCTCATGGCATGATCAGCATGGTAACTCAGATCAAATGATTTGACAGTGGGTTCAGAAAAGAAGAGTGTTGCTGTCATAAGCTGGTACCAAACATTGCAGTGATTTCGAATGGTGTCCATCACAGTCACGTCACCAGCAATAATCTGGAAAATAAAAAAGCTGTTTAACATATTCATCTACTTTGAATTTTCTTTTGCATAAGATTTATTGTATTGTAGTAAGGGTATATAAATACCCATTTGGAGCACACTCACCTTCATGATTAACTCAAGGTCCAGATTGCTTTCAAACACTCCCTCCTCAATCTTGGAACGAACATCAGCCTGCCACCGTGTCCACTGAGCATTAAATACTGTGACTGAAGTGCCACCATAAATCTGAAAAAAAAAAACAACAACACATGCTCTTAATGAAAAAACACACTAGAAATGGAAGTGTGTAAATGTCACACACTTGTAGGTGTGTGAACAATTATTTGTACACTTAAGGAGGTAAACATGTGAATTATCTAGGAAAAATTCACATGTTTACCCCAAAAGTGTACAAATAGATATTCACACACTTACAAGTGTGCGACATTCACACACTTGCGTTTCCAGTGCAACCATGAAACAAAAAACATGGAAATATTAACCATTATGTAAGGTTCCAATATTATGAAGATAGGGGTAGCATGACTTACATTGTACAAAGGCATTGTGCGCAAACAAACGTCAGCATGCTGAAACGGGGTGGTCTTTGCATCTGAATGGAGAACAAGCAGAGCTCTCGTGACATCAATTCTTCCTTGTAAAAGTACTCCAATGACGGTTTTCCAATATTCTGGGTCTTTTTCAGAGCCAGCGGTCTCAAAGCCAGCTTCTACACGGTCAGCACCAGTCTCCAATATTGTAGCTGCTTTTCTTTCACCTTCAGGGAAGTGGAACCGAATCCACTCCAATAACTGAGGTAAAACAATATCACCTGAAATAGAGAAAATACTCATTTAATGACCCACAGTAGAAAAATAACCCAAAAAACAAGGCAAGGTTGATAGGAAGTGACTTACCTGGCACCACATCAACATATAATATTTCACACAGGTGCCAAATCAGTTCAATTTTATCAAGAACGTTAGCAAAATAATAGCTGTTCAGCTTTCCTAAGTCTTGTTGAGAACTCTCAATAATTTCATACAAATTGTTTCTGCACACTCTAATGATGGATCTACAGGCAAATTTAAGATTATTCATCACTACTTCAACTGTTAAGTAATGCTAAAAACTTTTGGAAATTAAGGGTTGTAACAAACCTGTAACGACGGCTGAGTTTCAGTAGATCTGGTGCATGGTCACCACCACTACCTAAAGATTGAGATAATTTCTGACCGCTGAGAAATGTCCCGCATGATTCATTCACCAATTTTCTCAGACATGGATCAAATAGTATAGAATCTTTCGTGGCGTTCACACTCCATTTCGCAGCAATGCCTAATGTTTGAAACAATTCATCAGGCCTGTCCGTCTGTATGATTGAAAGTGAAAGAGCAGCATTAGCAAATATAAAAGTTTATCACAAAACATAAACATAACCTGACAGTGCCAATGCCCACGGACAGAATTGTCTTAAAGACTCACGATATCTTTATTTAAAGTTGATTGAGGAACTCCTTTTATTTTAAATTGAAGACCTTTCAATGCAAGCGCGACGTCCATGGTTGTCACAACGCTAAACACAACTTAAAAGTTTGATTTTCCCTAGATGTGCTTGTCTTCGTTTACCCGCCGCCGCCGCGCCGCCGCTCATTCCTGCCAGGAAGAACTGCAAGCAGTATTAGCAGTTTTATCGTGGATCGGGGGCATCGGGGGAGAAATATCATGACGTCACAAGAGCTCATTCAACTGTAAGTTTGAATGGTGTTTGTGACTACTGCCCCCGAAAGGACAGAGTGTCACAGTGCTCAAATTAGGGGGAGAAAGCTTTGTGAGATTCTCGTAAGTGATGGATATTCTATTTCAATCCTTTCTTTCAAACGACATAACAACTTGTATTCATCTCATCTAACGCGATGATTTCAAATCGACCGCCAGGCCATGTACTACACAAAACATAATAGCCTTGAATTTTCCCCTTTTGCTTAATATTTTCGACATCTTCTCTTTGTCTCGTGTTTTAAGACAACATCAATTCTAGAAAATTTGAATTCGAAATTTCTCTTTCTTTAGACTTTTACCTTTTCGACGCATACTTCGGAAATTTGCCAACATGACAGGAAGCTTGCTTGACGAGTTGAAGTTGAAGTGAGGTTTTGTAGGTTGTTTGCAGCTTTAGTGGGCGGCATCCGTCAGTTCCTCAGAGATCATCACTGTCAAATCAAATGACAGTTCTTCTTTAGGCCTCTTTCAACGGATAACTGGTGCTGGTGAGGCTTTTTCTGTCTTCATTGATGAATTTTGCGCATGGGTCTCTTTTTTCAAGACTTTTGTTCGGGGGTGTAGAGGGTAGCAATCACCCTCATGACATGTCATTGAAAACCTGGTATACTCAGTTCTTGTGGGATAATCATAGGTCTTCGTTCTTAACACCTCTATACGTTGTTCTGGAGGCGTCTTGTATTTTACGTTTTACCTTACGTTTGCTTTATTGTTGCCGAAAGGTTTTGCAAACTTTGAACAGGTTAGGTTCTCTGGTTGTATACATCTAGGGTCAAACTCATTTGACAGTTTACCACAGTACTGTGTTTGACAGTATTGTAGTGTGCGTCGTGACCTTCTTGTTGGTCTTTTTTGTGTCGTTTGTTTCCCTCATAAGCTTGTGGTGGGTCCATAGGACTTGTAGATTTTACTTACCTTCTAGGAGTTCCTGATAATTTCCTATTGTTATAATTAACAGTTCCTTCTTTTCCCCTCAGGTACTAAGGACTAACAATGATTGGGGGGTTGTTTGTATACAACCACAAGGGGGAGGTGCTCATATCACGGGTTTACAGAGATGATATTGGAAGGAATGCAGTTGACGCTTTCCGTGTCAATGTCATTCACGCACGGCAACAAGTACGCTCACCCGTTACCAATATTGCTCGCACTTCCTTCTTTCACATCAAGGTATTGTACTTGGGTCTTCTTTGTATTGAGATAGAAGGGTTTAATTATTTGTTTGTTAATACATTTTGTATTTCAGCGTGCAAACATTTGGCTAGCTGCTGTAACAAAGCAGAATGTCAATGCTGCTATGGTTTTTGAGTTCCTTCTGAAGATTGTTGATGTTATGCAGTCCTATTTTGGAAAGATCTCTGAAGAAAACATCAAGAACAATTTTGTTCTAATTTATGAACTCCTTGATGGTAACTCTTGATTCTCTGTGAATTCTACCACTCTACCAACTTGAACAGTGCCTCTGAAAATGGATAATTTGTTTTATTAACTTTTTGTTTTTTCCCTTTAGAAATCCTGGACTTTGGTTACCCTCAAAATTCAGATACTGGTGTTCTAAAGACTTTCATTACCCAGGCTGGTATTAAATCACAGACCAAAGAGGAGCAAGCACAAATCACCTCTCAAGTAACTGGGCAAATTGGATGGCGGCGAGAGGGTATTAAGTACCGCCGCAATGAATTATTCCTGGATGTTTTGGAGTATGTGAATTTGCTCATGTCACCCCAAGGTATGCTCATTATCTTGTCAGTATAGAAGAAATGTTCACTTAGACTTAGGATAGTGTTTTACTACATCTTCTTTCTATAATTAGGTCAAGTCTTGTCTGCTCATGTTGCTGGAAGAGTGGTGATGAAATCATACCTCTCAGGAATGCCAGAATGTAAATTTGGCATCAATGACAAAATTGTAATGGAAGCCAAAGGAAAATCTTTGGTGACAAGTGGAGGGGCTGGTGGCCTTGCAGGGGGAGATGATCCTGCACGATCTGGGAAGCCTGTTGTTGTCATTGATGACTGCCAGTTCCATCAATGTGTGAAACTGTCCAAGTTTGAAACTGAACATGCCATCAGCTTCATACCTCCTGATGGAGAGTTTGAACTTATGCGGTAATATTTTATATAATTTTTTCTCATGAATTGTTTTCATTACTTTCTCAGTTCTTAGAATTATTTTTCTCTCCAGTTACCGAACCACCAAGGATATTTCCCTCCCATTCCGAGTTATTCCTCTAGTACGTGAAGTAGGACGCACAAAAATGGAAGTGAAAGTTGTGCTCAAAAGTAATTTCAGACCAGCTCTGCTTGGCCAAAAGATTGAAGTGAAAATCCCAACACCTCTTAATACTTCTGGAGTCCAGCTGATTTGTTTGAAAGGAAAGGCAAAGTACAAGGCTTCTGAAAATGCCATCATGTGGAAGTAAGTGCTTGTATAGCTGATGCAATTTACAGCAAATTTTTTAGTTCAAACATTAATTAATCAATATTGTTTTCAATCTCCTAGGATCAAACGTCTTGCAGGAATGAAAGAGACACAATTGTCAGCTGAAATTGAACTCTTAGAGACAGACACCAAGAAGAAGTGGACCAGACCCCCTATTAGCATGAACTTTGAGGTAATTTGTTTTTGTTTTTTTTATCATTTGTGTATTTTTTTTTAAGGGGAAAAAACATTTCCAGAGTTTTAACTTGTTTTATTTTGTTTTTCTACTTCTAGGTTCCATTTGCTCCCTCAGGTTTCAAAGTTAGATATCTGAAAGTATTTGAATCAAAGCTTAACTATTCAGACCATGATGTTGTCAAGTGGGTCCGTTACATTGGTCACAGTGGATTGTATGAAACCAGGTGCTGAATTTACCATTGTGGAAGATACAAAAGTTATTTGTGAGTTCAAATATCTTGGTGTTGTATGTTTGCCATTATAATCATTCCCAGTCACTTGTGGAGATAGGAGTTTAAGACATTTTACGTAAGTGTGAGTCAAAACTTTGAAATCGTTGTTTTGTTTTTAATCTTTGTGCAATAGGGCATTTTGTTACTTGTGTGGCTATTTGCTCTCTAGTTAAATGCAATAATGTTGTTAATTCAGTTTCTTTAAACTGAATATGAGAGATCTGTTAAACAATGAAATGTACCGTTTTGACTATTTACCCAGTATTAGATCTGGATCACATTTAGTCAACTCTGTATGCTTGTGATAGCTATCAATTTTATGCAAATATTTTGCCATTTGAATCATACGTACTAAATGAATTTTGATTTGCATCTGTTAATCCAGTGATATCATGTGAAATGCAAGCCTGCAGTCATATTTTAGCATCGTCAAAAATGGTTTTATGAAGTATATTAAGCTACCAAGCTTGTTTTAGAAATAATGTTGTTGTAAATGTGAACATAATCATTCATATGTAGATAAATCTATGTATACAAAGTATATAAATACCAATGTTAGTGGAATTCTCAGAAGTAATCTGATAATAAAATTATGGATCACTGATAACTCTTGGTTAAATTAATCAAAGGAACTCTCCATTCTATTTAAGCTAGTCAAATCATTTTTATTTGTTTTCATCCAGGCATCCTTATATACCTCCATAACAGGCTTAACCTATATCACAAGTATTATTAGGTTTAAAAAAATGGAAAATGGTACTAAGTTGAACTATCGATGTCTACCTCAGAAGTGAAAGTTTTGCCATTTGCAAAAAGTTCTTGCACTTTGCTCTGCACATCATTCTCACCTAGAAGAATAAAACTTGTCATTAAGAAATTAAAAATGTACAGTAAGAAAAGAATATTGTAAAAAAAGTTGCATTACCTGGACAATCAACTTTTTCCATAATACAATTGGAAATTTGTTTGGCTAACTTTTTGAATAGGTCTTTCGACGCTATCTTTTGTTTCTTATACATCGGCATGAGATGCTTAACTGTGAGAGCGGCAATTTCTTCACGATCTTTTCTTTTTCCATTCAGTGCACTAGGATGCACATCATCAGGCCCAAAAAGTTCGGTAAAACGCCTCTCAAGCCTTGCTCTCTTTTCGGTCCCACCATTCATTTCTATTTTCTTGAGTTTTCTCTCTAGTTCTGCCTCGTTTTTCTTTCTGAGAAGTCGCCAACTGAAACCATTAGCTAATGGTTTTATTGATGGTGCCGTGTTATTTTCTTGGATCTTTTCGATCTCTGGTTTAATATTATTATTATTAAGACTATTTCCCTCAACCAATTTTTCACTAAGTTCAATTGGTAAAGATGAGTTGGGGTTTTCTTGAGGGCTCATGATGATTGGAGATGATTTCTCTTCGGACCCTTCTCCACAAACTCGGGCCAGTTCCTCTTCCATCCAGTCTAATGAAGGTTGATAGGAGCTATTTTTAGATGTACAAGGAGAACTACAAAATTCATGAATGTTGTCAGTCTTTGAATGATGTGGTCCTAATCCTTGTTTCCTTTGAGGAGTATTCATGGAGCAGACGACGGGGAACGAGAGGATTTGGCAAACTAAACGGCTACGCCCACCCCATCTGACAACCTCCAAACACTTGGATAGGATCTGGTACCTACTTGTCACCATGCATAAGACAACGGTGTTAATCTTGAACTCAAGTCAGAGCACAAGAAAACGGGGGAACTCAAACTCATCTGTCAGCCAGAGACAGCCAACCAGCGGGGTCAATCCTGGGCCTTTTAGCCAGTACGCTTGGTCCACACAAGCAGACTAGGGAAACCAAAGAAACCGATGAGGTCAACCCCATAACGCATTCATCGCTAATGTGGGTTATGCCAACGAACGCATAGATGTGATCTATGTAAACATATGTAAGGCATAGCGTGTCTTGAGAGAGAATACTACAGTACAAAGCTGGTAGAATAATTTCATCGATCGACGAAGGCGAGGTTGGATATTTGGGACCACGAACAAACGTTGGCAGCATTGGTGGGTGGAGGGAGCTACAAAATCACACCCCCTGGACTGGGGTAGAGGGGGTAGTAAGGTGTCACGAGCGGTCTTGAGTTTAAGCGCTAAACGTAAGCACGACACATCTGTGACACACGTGCTTGATTTTTTTTCAAGCGGATCCTAGGATCTGTTTTAAAGAACGGTTTAGAGAGAAATCCGAGTGCCGATGACGCTGGCGGTCTGATGTGCTGACACGACTTACTCGAAAAAGCTACGTGGACGGAATTGCGTCCGTCTGGTCGGATACGTCGGCTGACGACCGAAGCGCGCCATAGTATGACCCGATTAGATCCAAGTTTGAATGCCTTCCCACAAAAATCTTGCGTGTTTTGAGTGTGTTTTTCCGTTGTCTTTGTGGACACGTGTGTAGCTATGCCACTCACACACCAGGGTGGTGTGGGGGGGCAGGAGCGCCCGCGGAGTCCCGGGTAGGCGACCCGTTGGACGCACGTGATGGGCGGCCGGCCTATCCGCCGGTCCCCCGGGGGGCGGGTAGGGGTCGACGCGACGGCTCGCGAATCCATGTCGCCCTCTTATCGCTCCCTGTCCTCAGGTCCTCTGTGGCGGCCCTCTGCATCTTTCCGCTGCTCCGCGCCCCCGCGTACCCCGCGCACCTCGGCCACCTCGGCCCCCCGGACTCCCAGGGTTCCCCGGCCCCGTTCTCCGCTCGACAGGTATTGTTGCCCGCGGCCTGCTCGCTCCGTCCGGCTCGGCACCGCGGCCGAGCCTTGGCCATGGCGCTGCGCGGAGCATGGCCGCGTCCTTCTACACAAGTACGGTTCGGGCGGGGGGGCCGGGCCCAGGGACCAGCGGCGGGCACGCCCCCCGGTGCGCTTTTCCTCTGACTACCCCGTCCGCCCGACTCCCGCCTTACACTCCTACCCGCTCCTCTGCGGGTCCTTTTCCTCGATTTGCAGAGTACGAGGTCCTGTGCAAGATCGGCGAGGGGTCATTTTCCGAGGTCCTCAAATGCCAGGATCGGTCCAGCGGCCAGCTGTTTGCGGCGAAGAAGCTGCGAAACGCGTACCGTTCGTGAGTAGCGAGACGTTTGGACAAAATTCTCAAATATCGCCTGGATCGTGCCGGTTATTACCGTCATTTGTTTTATGGTGAAATGGAGTTCCCCCTTCCCTTCATCTGCGGCTTGTTAGGTGAAGGTCATGCGCTGTGCCGCACGGGTCGCACGCCTCGCCGCCGGCTCTGAAGGACGGCAGCAGCGATTTCGCTTGCAGGGCGCCGAGCACGAACACTTCAACCCCCCTATTCCCCGGGGAATAACACGTCGCTGCTGCTGCTGCTGAAACCCTCGGCGGAAACGCCACTATCGTGACCGATTATTTCTATTTTGACCACCTGCAGGCTACTCGACGCCGCCAACATTCCGGAGGCCGTCGCTGCACGCAAATTGAAACCGCATCCGAACGTTCTGCATCTGCTCGAGCAGCACTTGTGAGTCCTTAGGGAGGTCATCAAGGTCACGGACTCACCACCACACTTCCGACTTAGACGAGGCTTGCGTGCCGTGCAGCGACGCGGCGACAGGATGCGTCACCCTCATCTTCGAGCTCATGGAGAAGAGCCTGTACGACCTGCTCAAGTCCCGGGTCCGGATGCTGCCAGAGGTCCGGGTGCGCTCCTTCCTCTACCAGCTGCTCCAGGGCTGCGAGCACCTGCACAACAACGGCATCTTCCACCGGGACGTCAAGCCCGAGAACATCCTGGTGAAGGGCGACTGCGTCAAGCTCGGCGACCTGGGCTCCATACGAGGCAGCTATTCCAAGCCGCCGTACACCGAGTACATCTCGACCCGATGGTACCGCTCACCCGAGTGCCTGCTCACGACCGGCTTCTACGGGCCCAAGATGGACGTCTGGGCGGCGGGGTGCGTCTTCTACGAGATGCTGACGTGAGTACCGGGGCCGCGGGGCCCGGGCCCGCCGGGGGCTCGACCCGAAGCGCCCCGCCGGCATCGGCCCAACGCCCATGTTCCCTAATGCATTGCACTTCACCCCAACTTCCACGCCCCTCAATACTGTACGGAAACCCATCCACGCCGAGAGCCCTTTTGTCAGCCCTGTCCGGCCCTGTCTTCTAATAGCGCGTGCTTGCACGGGCGTGAGGGCACGCGCGCCCGCGTGCGTGTGTGTGCGTGCGTGCGTTTGTTCGTGCACGAGATATAGCGCTCACGTGCGTTACCTTTCGCGAGCATGAGTTTTGATTCTCTTGCTTCTCCGTTCCGTTCATGCGGGGGCGACCGGCC